GAAGGCATCTCGTGGCTATTGTTGTATCATTTATTTAGACTTTCTCTTTAAATAAATAAATTGCGATCACTTTTTCGTTTTTTTTTCTTTTCTTTGCTTAATAGCATGGACGTCAGAGCATCTGTACTCAATGGCGACAAGAGGAGAGACTAAAAGTATTCCATAGCTCCCTAACTTTCCCGCTTACGTTACACTCGTCGATTTAACTCCTAGCATAGTGCAGAAAATAGTTTTCATTTTTCTTTTTTTTCTACTAGCTTTACTCGCGGGTGATTTTCTTCTTTTTTTCTCTTTGTTTAAATTACTTGCTTAACTGGTAGTACACCGTAATCTAGGCGCTCTCTGCTTTATTTAAACTACCTGGAGACTTCATTCAATAAACGGCATTAAGATACATACGCAGGCGGAGTAGTCGTACGAAACTAATCTCTTCGTCGAATGTACAGTACAGCGTGATTGCGTGATTATTAAGTGGATACACGCCGGAACGTTACGTGGAAGGAGCGTTGAGAATTTTCTTTTTATACATGTACTATATTATCCAAACGCAATTACGTTTTGAACGCGTACGCGTGCAATCCTTTATTTAACGTATAGGTACTTCTGTGTGTATGTATGTTTGTTATCTTAAATGTTACCTAGTCTTTATCGTTATTACGCTATTTTATTACCAAGGTGCCCTGGCTGTCAGCAAAACTACGAAATGTAAATCGTAAAATTGTTTACAGTGCGATCGAAAGAAAAAGTATTCGGTTCCATCGAGTGTTAAAATACACGTTCGTGTGTACGATTTTCTATACACTGTCGCAACACACTGCCATTTTCCATCGAAGAACTGGCTCATCTCTTTCGTTTAAACGTACGGATTTGTTGGGCTGTCTGTTAGGAACCTTAATAAGGCAACGAAGGAGCCCTGAATCTTACAAGTGTAATCTTTCTTTCTCCCTTCTTACGCCTTTTTACGGTATCTTTTGAAGCCTAGCATCCTTTATCGTATATTCAGACACGGCTAAGTGTTTATTATTGCCTTACAAGAGAAAGAGAGATAGAGAAAGAGAGAGACCCGGTACCGAAAATTTATCATTACATAATGCTATGAATCACGTAATGATAAACCGTGTAAAATATATCAGGATTTTTTATACATATATAAAAAGTTTCGTGCGCGTGTAGTCAATTCTATTAGTAAGTCTCCTAGTTTCGTGAACGGATCTAAGCTCTCAAAAGTAGCGCAAAAATACATAATATTATAAAATTTCATCACAACAACTTTTAAATTTTCAAGACATATTGAAATACGATTAATCACATATATACAACATCAATAAAAGCATAGCATCCGCTAACAGACAAAAAGATCCGAAGATAGCAGATATTTTCAACAACTTCATATATATCACAGAGAGTTAATTATAAATACAACGTTTGAACAGAGAGAAAAAGAGAGCTTGATTCGAGAGCTTAGCCGAGCTTTCTACAAATGTATTTCGCATGATAAAATTTCGTTGACACGCGCGTATAGATAAATAAGAAGTACATGAGGATCATGGGACCGAGGCTCTCTCCGATCATTTCCGTTTAATACCATTACCACAGAGAGCTTATTATGCTACGCTTCGCACAAAACGCCTCCTCCGCGGCACGACAAGAGTAAAGAATAATGCTTCCCGACGGAGAAACTTACGAGAATCACCGTGAGTCACACAACGAAAGATTTCGCTCGCATCGCCTTAATGCGTATTATCGATGCACGCGTCAGACGTGCAGTACTCGTGTATTGTGCACTTTTATCGCTATACTCTTCTATATTTGCCCGCCTATCTGCTTGGTTGACCGAGCTTGTCACCGCTCGCGACTGTCGATATCCGTGATTGACGCTGCACGTATTCACGACAATCCGTGCTCATCACGTATATACAAATAAGAATGATTCGATACTTAAACCGCGTCCAAGAGCGAGATAGGTCAACCATCCGCCGTACGCGACACCATTGTCGCCGACGGCGGCGGATGAGGATGATGTACCAAGGCCGGAATTTCGATCACGTCAGCTGGCTGCTGATTGGCGACGGCGTTGTTGATCGAACAGGAAGTGAGGGGTTGCTATTTCTTGGTCGGTGTGCCCCGTTGTGTCAGACCCTCGAAGCGCTTGAAGGTGTAATTAATGAATACCCAGTCCTTGTATATTACCTCACCATCCTGTGGCATTGGCGCGGACGCTATAATGAGGCAAAACGAAAGGATGAAGTGTGTGTGTTAAAAATTATTAAAGCAATTGGATAATAATAAGGAAAAGATAAATTAATTCGTAAGTGCTCGCATGAGAATCAATTTAACCACGCTTTAATTTATCTATTCTTCATGTGTAAATAAAATTTTTTATTTTTATTTATAAATAATTATAAATTAAGAAATGTTTTAAACATAAAATAAAATAATAATTTTCAAGCATTAGAAATTAAAAGAAATACATATAATAATAAAAAAATATTTTTTTAGTAATATTTTCATTCGTTTATGTTTATGCGCGTCTAGGTCAGTTTGACCACACGAGCATTTATAGATTAAAGAAAAAATATATACGTACGTATCTCTAATTTCACATCTGGAAACTCGTCGAAGTTCGATGTGTCGTCGATGGATCGCACTTCGACCGGTATAGCAGCTGGTCTTTCCCTGATGTGCTCCCAATCGACACCGCGGAAGAAAGGCGCTAATTTGAGCTCCTCGATGCCTCTTTGAGCTCCTATGAAGAACAATCACGATAAAGATTAATCACTGTGAAAGATTCTTTTTATTTTTTTTAATAACTCCAGATAAAGATAATACAGAAATTCACCTAATCTTCTATCGGCTTCGCAGCAAAATCTGATAATGGTATCTTTAGCTTCTTCACTAATGGGGACTTCCGGTGGAAATACTAACGTTTCTCGCCAGTTCATTACTTTTCTATACGTCTCCTGTGGATTTTCACTGCAGAATGGCGGATATCCTAAAATAGTTATGTTATTGTTAACTTTAACAAGATTAATTTTTAGAACTTTTATTCTATGATATGTTCATCCTTAATAATTATCTTACAATCAATGTTATCGTTATAACATTATTTAATATGTTTGTAACAATATATTATTTTTTATTATATTTGTAATATATAATATAATAAAGAAGTATATGTATTTTTGTAAAGTAAAAAATTAATATGAATAAATTAATAATTGTGTTGTTTTTAAAATAATTTATTAATTACAAATGAGAATTTTGTAAAAAGAAAAATACACAACACATCATACCTATAAGCATCTCGTACATAATAACTCCCAGGGACCAACAATCGCAAGCCGGTCCGTAACCTGTTTGCAGAAATACTTCCGGCGCGATATAGTCTGGAGTGCCTACCGTGCTGTAAGCCAGCGCTCTCCTGTTTCTTTTCCAGCTCTCAGCTCTCCTTTTACTATCCATCGCGCCACCGCTTCCACTCCCGCATGATGTCACTGCATGAAACATAGACGAGACATCAATTAAATTATTAAATATAATTAAATCGACATTACATAAATATTTTTCTTTAACGCACGCAAAAAACGTCGTTACTTACTGAAATCGGAAGGTTTCGCTTGACTCAGGTCTCGGTAAAAATCAGTTCTGTGTGATTTCTTCAAACCCGTGCACAGTCCAAAATCAGAAAGTTTTATGTGGCCCCGTGCATCCAGCAACAGGTTGTCTGGTTTGATGTCTCTGTAAAAGAAAAGAAAATTAATATAAGTAATTGTTTAATTGTATATACATATAACGTATATAAAAACTATATATTTAATTATATAGATGAAATGAAATAATTTAAAAATTCAAAACTCTTGACTAGAAAACTCTTACTAGAAGGATAAGAATTGCAGTAAAAAATATATCACAAAACAGACATTCACAAATATATTCGAAATATTTTATTTTTAGAAAAGATTAAAATCAGTGACTTATAATGTAAATAAATTTCATTATATTTAATGTAATTATTTTTTTTTTCCTCAAATTTTGACGAGATGAACGTACCTATGAATAAAACCTAATTTGTGTATGGAGTCGATCGCTAACGCCGTTTCAGAAATATAAAATTGCGTACACTCCTCGGAAAGCGTGTCCTTCTTCATGAGTAACGTCATCATGTCACCTGTAATTCATCTCGCTTGAATTATTCACGATGCCCAGAAATAGCACTTCCGTTTTCAGCTTGTCGCAAAGATCGATAAAAAGACTTACCACCAGGAAGAAACTCCATTATTAGATAGAGATTTATAGGATCTTGGAAACTGTAGTACATCTTCACAACCCACTGATGGTCCGCTTCCACGAGGACGTCCCTCTCCGCTCTGACGTGCGCAACTTGCTCCTTCTCGAGCATGTCTGCCTTCCGGAGGATCTTCATCGCGTACACGTGTCCAGTATCCTTCTTCTGTACGAGTCTTACCTGTATATATTTTTTTTTCGTTTTACAAAACAGTACATTTTGAATGAAAATATCGGCAGATTTTCGTCGAATGAATTAAAAACATTTTTCCGTCTAATTTTGAATTTTACGAAAGGGATTGCCACTCACTCCGCGAAGCGAGGCGAAACGCTATTTCTTCTGAAAAGTAATGAGAAAATTTCGCTCCTGAACAACTACCGCCTGAGAGAGAGTCTCGCGTATTGTCATTATTATCGTAATTATTACAACCATAAACACAGAAGTCAATCTCTGTCTTTATGTAATTAAAAATCGCTGCGTAAATGAATAATTTACACATGACACACATTCGACGAATATATCATTTAAGATGTCATTTAGAAACAAACAAATAGAAAGTTTCATTTAGAGGATATCATTTAAAATCTACATTTCTCGACAAAATGAGGATGTTTAGTATATCTATTACTTTTTTTAAATACTTCTTTTTTACAAATATAAATTTATCTATTAAAATTC